GAAGGAAGGAAGGAAGGAAGGAAGGAAGGAAGGAAGGAAGGAAGGAAGGAAGGAAGAAACGAAGAAAGAAAGAGAAAGAAAGAGAGACCACTACAGGGCAAGAATGCAACTGCTACCAGAACACATTATTTTTGCCATGAGGCTGTAAACAAGACCCATGACTTGGTGAATAGAGATTCCTGGGAAGACGTGACATAGCCCTGAGCCCCCTGACTGAAACTGAAGGAGGGTCTCAAGACACTGAGATGGGCAGAAGCAACAGAGGGCCCAAGAGGTTACAAAGGAGCAGGGCAGGTAGGCAGAGCCATTCCCAGGCAGAGAAAATAATACAAACAGGACAGTGATGGCAGAAGACCCTGAAGCACCATGGTGGTACCAGTCAGGCCTGTGTAGCAACAAGGGAGCCCACCTCCTCACTGCACGCAGACAGAAGAGGCCACAGCAAAGCCAGGAAGAGTGAAGGACAGGGGCCCAGGGACTCACTGCAGGCTGATGTGAGGGGGCAGCTTGAAGGAATTTTTCAATACGTGGAGTTGCTGGACCTTCCCTGGCTGCCCAGCGTGAATAGCCCCTGTTATCTCAAAGGCCCAGGCATCCCTCTCCTCTCGAGAACAGGCCTCTAGGAAGTATTCTGTGGATGTTCGAGTCTTCAGCTTAATAAGCAGCTGTGGGAAGAGACAGCCAGTCAGACCAGCACTTAGAGGTAAAATACCTTCTTTATGGATCTAGTAACCTTATAGAAACTGAGCTTCACTCCTCATTTCGGTCTTCCTAAGAGAGTTGTCATCAGTGCATTCTCTCACTCAAAACCTTCAGCGGCTCCCCATGACCTCTGTCTAGCCCCAGCCCTTCTACCCCTGCTCCCTCAGTGAGCATTCCCCTTTGCCCACACTGGCTGTCCTCATCACCCCTGACTTTTACTCAAGACCTTCCACCTGTCTGGAATATCTGCCTCTCTCTTCTTTTAGATCTTTGCCCAAATCTATTCCTCACAAACCTGACCCTGACTCAGCCTATAGTGACATCTTCCTCCTCTTTAGGAATGCAGTGTTCTCTACGGCTAATAATGTTTGTGCCAACATTTGGAATGCTGAATGTTTTTCGATTAACCGCTGCTTTCATAATAAGGTTATTAACTCAAGAAGAAGCAATCTTACCATTTTCTTCCTTGACTCTTCCAAGCCTAGCAAATTTCTTGGCACACAATGGAATCCCGATAAATGGTTGAGTCTGATACTTTTTTGATGGTAGGGTTGAACTTGCCCCTGACTTTTGGAATGCGCACACTTTGGGGATGAAAGCCATCATATTGAACCCCAAGATAGCAGTAATTACTCACATTTGTGTAGTGTCTTCTGGCCTACAGTGTTTTCAAAGACCATCACCTTCATGAGCCTCATCACAGTCATGAGAGACAGTCAGTTGTCATTATTCTATCCCATTTTATCAATGAAGAACTAAGGCTCAGAGAGGTTTGATTATTTGCCCAAGGTCACCTACCAGGTACATGGTATAGCCAGGATTTGAGCTAGATTTTTCAACCATAACTCAAATCTTCCCATTACACGCAACACCTTCACCAATGGGGTGGGAGGTGGAAGGGTCTGTGGCAGGGAGGAGCTGGGAAGCCAGGGCCTTCACTTACAGGTCGGTTTTCATACTCCAAGCAGGGGCAGGTGATGGTGCAGCCATCCAGAAGGATCCGTCCCTTGGGAGGGGTCACCTTCCGACCCCCCTCGAGCTTGTAGTACAGCAGCGTGTTCTGCTGGAGGATGAACCATCGCACCTTCCAGTTGTGGACAATGTGACCCTGAGGACAGGCAGGAAAGCCCTGGGCTTAGGTGACCGAAGGGACGTCATCGTGGTAAGGGAGAGGTGTCCCATGGCACTGGTAGCCAGTCTGAGCCATGGAATCGACCCTCCAACAAGAGGGGACAGCATTATTTTTTTTAGCTTCATTTTATTTTTTTATTTTGAAATCACTTCAATTCAGAGAGAAGTTGAAGAATAGTATAAAGAACATTTTTTACAGAACCATTCAAGAGTACATTTTTAACATGCTGCTCCATCACTTCTCAAAAATTTCATTGTGTATCTCCTACAAAATAAAATATTTCCCACATAATCACAATATAACCACCAACGACAGGAAATTTACATTAATATATTGTTTTCAGTTATTCTACAAATCCCTTTCAAGTTTCACCAACGGCCCCAATAATGTCCATAATGGTCAAAGGATCCAGTTCAGAATCATGTTTTATTTTTGTAAAGAAAATATTATCTTTGAATCTCTTTATCATGCTCTTTGAGTATACAACAAAGACTTTTGGCATTGGCCTTCTTGTACCCATTTGGCCTTTTTTCTGGTTATAAACCTCGAAAGACACTCAAAATATACAGAATAGAAAATCCTACTACTAGGAGACAGCCATTGTTAACACTTTGTATTTCTTCCAGTCTTTTTTCCTTTTAGTTTTTCTTTTCTAGTTTTTTTTTTAATTGGGACCATATTACATATACTTTTATTTTCTAGTTTTTGTTTTGTTGAGCTTTGCTGATCATCTTCTCATACTACTAAATTTCTTTAAAACATGTTTTTTAATGGCCAATAAGTGAATGCATCATTTACTTGTCGGTCTCCTGTTGTTTATAATTGAAGTTATTTCATTTTTCCTCTATTATAAACAATTGTGCAATGAATACCCTGGCACATAAAATTTGAACTGCATCATCTCGGAATTTTTTCCTTAGGACATATTCCTAGAAAGAATACTACCAAAGGATGTAGGCAATTTGTAAAGTCGAAGTCACACACGTTCTACCAGTGCTACGGGTGTGAACAGTCTCATCCAGCCCAATGCGGAAGGCCTAAAAGGGGGCTCTTAGGTAGATTTGGGGGCTCTTAGGTAGATCACAGAGCTAATGGGTAGGAAAATCAGGTGAAGGCAGCGAGCCTGTTTCTAGAACAGACCAACAGATGGCAGGGAATGTCTGCTGAGGAATCGAAAGGGAATGGGTTTACTTCACACTCATGAAAGCAACTTTCTCGGCATATTTCTCCGATCAGAGACCACTTCGGGCTAGATTCTAACCAAGAGAGTTTCCATTTCCCCAGTTCACTCATTTCCTCACGTAGCATCTATTCATTTCAAAGGCCCCTTCGGCTCTCACATCTATGGCGCTGTGGTTCTGTTCCTTGCTCAGCGTGTACTGAGTGCTGCTGCTAGGAAACCAAGAGTTGTAAGGAGGAGTTGACTTCTATTGGCCTGCTCCCAAACAGAATTTATTGTGGCAACTTAATAAAACTTCTAACAGTTAATCTGACAGGAATTTATTAATATGTCTAAGTGTTATCATGCTACATGGTGACCAAGCTGTTCACATGAGAGTACTTATGTAATCGAGTTGAATTTTACAGTTTTGCTCTCTTCACTCTGTCCTGTACTTAGAATTCACATAGAATATGACAATTGACAGCTTTCCTTGACATGAACGGACATGTTTAAAGAAAAAAAAAAAGATTTGGTTCCAACTCCTCAGTAATTAGGGTTCTCTACGATCCACATGACCCAGACTCAGGTCCCCTTTCCTGATGACCCCCTACTGAGGGGTTCCTGGAACAGAACTGGCAGGAAATGGCTGGCACACAAGATTACATCTGGTCCAAAGAGAGGAGAACGTAATCTAAGTTGATGGTCTGGGCCCTGGTGTGAGGTGAAGAAGGGAGAGGGAAAAATAATCTTCAACCTTAAAACACAGGTGTTATGGGCTGAATTATGTACCCCGCCCCCCGCCAATCATATGCTGAAACCCTACAGCCACACCACCTGAGCATGTAAATGTGTTTGGAAAGAGAGCCTTTAAAGAGGTGATTAGGTTAAAATGAGGTCATTAAGTGGGCCCTAATCCAATGTGACTGGGCCTTATAAGAAGAGGAAATGTGGGTACACAGCAGAGAACCGTATGCACAATGGAAAGACCACGTAAACACACAGCAAGATGGGGGCTGCATGCAGGCCTAGGAGAGAGGCCTCAGAAGAAACCAAACCTGACACCTTGATCCTGGACTCTAACCTCTAGAACTGTGAGAAAATAAATCTCTGTTGTTTAAGCCGTCCTGTCTGTGGTACTTTGTTATGACAGCCCTAGCAAACTAAATCGACAGGGAAAGGAGAAAGGGGCCTGGAGATGTTAGGGAGATCAGAGGTTGATAGAACAAACCAATATGAAGATAACGTATTTTCCTGGACACCATGCTACATCTCCCAGAATGTCTGGCACAAAGGAAACATACAGGTGACCAAGTTGCTGCCAGTCCCAGGCATGCGGCATTGATGCCTGTTTGGCAGCTACCAAGCATAGGGAAATAGGAATTTTTGGCAAGGACAGTGGTGAAAGAACAGGTTCTTCTGTTCTGATACCCAGCCTCAGAATTAACAGGCACGAGTGGCAGTGTCAGCAGTGATGTTTCCACTAGAAATATCTGATAGTGCTATTGGGTATTTTTGTTTGCCTGCATCATCCCTGGCTATATAGCATCCGTTCTCTGGCCTTTCCAAATATTCCTGAGTTACTTAATATTTATTATTCTCCATGAAATTCTTTCTGTTCAAACTTGCTAGAGTGGACTGTGTTATGAGCGACTAAGAATCCTGACTGCTGGCAAAGGAGGGAGGTCTGAGAAGAAAGGTTGTTGAGAAAGGATTTTTTATGCAGGTAGAAAACTCAAGGCAACTGGTGAGCCTTATAAAAAGCTTCAAATTCTTTGACCCAATAATTCCACTTCCGGGGATCTGTGCTAAGTAAATAATCTAGACTGTGGAAAAGAGTTTATGTATTGAGACACTTAAAGGATCGTGGCTGATAATAGTAAAAAAATGCAAAATATTCTCACAGATAACAACATAGTGCCCAGTATGGCTGCAGTGGAAGGATTCCGGTCCTGACAGACGGTAAGGAGAAGCCACTGGTGGGATCCCCAGGGTCAGACCCAGAAGTCTGGGCCACCAAGAATCACAGTGGCAACGGTCTTTGACATAGGCAAAGCACTTTTACTTATATTTCTTTACGTGATATCTAAAAATAACTCTAGTGGTTATTTTCAAAAATTTTTGGAAGGATACCCCAGAAATGTTAATAGTTGTCACCTCTAGGGACTAAGACTGGATATGGCACGATAAGAATGGAAATTTATTTTTCATTTTTTGCCCTTGAGTATTTTTCTAGTTTTTAAAAATAATATGCACCTATTATTGTCATAATGGAAAATAAATTTAAATTCAAATAAAAAAAAATCCTGATGAGATGATTAGGGGAATCATTCATTCATTTATCTACTCATTTAACAATCAATGACTAAATACTACTGCACCAGGCACTGTCCCAGCAGCAGGGAGAAAAAAATAAACCAGAGTCTGACCCAAGACAGTGGGGGAGACAGGTGACGCCCCCCCCCACCCCATGTGGTAAATTCCAGGACAAATGACTGATGGAGCCTTCCACGATCACCACCTTCTGGTATTCACACCCTGTGTAGTCTCTTCCCTCGTGTAAAAAAGGATTGGTGTGACCAAGAGAGTATGGCCAGAGCGATGGCTTGTCGGTTTTGACAATATGTTATAAAAGACTCTGGGGCTTCAGTCTTGGGGCGGGGGGTGGCGGAGGAAGTGGGGGGCGGTGGAGCGGGCACTCTCTCTCTTTTTTCCCCAATTGTGCACTCTGGGGAAAGCTGCCACATCAGAAGCAGCCCCTACAGAGAGGTAAGGAACGGAGGCCTCCAGCCACCATCCAAGCCTTCAGGCAACTGCCACACTCGGCAACATTTTGGCTACAACCACGTGAGAGTCTCTGAGCCAGAATCTTGCAGCTGAGCTGTTCTTGGATACCTGACCCTCAGAAACTGTATGAGATAATAAATGTTTGTTGTTTTAAGACATTACGCTTTGGGATGATTGTTAAACAACACTAGACAACTAATACAGGGCATGATGCGAACCCCAAGAAGTTCAGAGGAGGAGGGAGCTCAATAGGGGTTGGAGTGGAGTTACGTAGGCTCTGAGGAGCCCGACACTGGAACGGGGTATTGGAGGTTGTGTGGAGTTGGCCCGGTTAGGAAGGCATGGAAGGGAGGACATAAAACCGCTTTGGGAAGACTGCAAATAGTTCTATATGGATAGGACTCAGAGGCCGCGGAGAAGGGCTGGGGGAAGTGGTGGGGGCCCAGCCGGCATCGGGTTCCTCGTTGTAGAGTTTGATATTTATCTCCGGCCAGAGGGAAGTCCTTGAAGACTTTGAAGCAGAAAGACGACAAGTTTAAGTTCTCATGTTCAAAATACCACCCTGACCACACTGGCGGAACAGCTAAATGAAGTAGGCCAGACTGGAGTAGACAGCTTAGTGGAGGCTGCTGTAATAATCCACAAAATGGAAAAGAAAGCACCGTTATCCCCATTCTACAGATAAGCCATGCCATGCTCACAGGGTGTAAGGGACTGGTCCAAAGTCACCAGGCCAAGGGGGTCAGAGGCCAAAAACACAGTGGTACAAGCTGAACAAGACCCCAGGCCTCCCTCTTCCTGGGTGGTTTCTTCCTTCTCCAGGCTCCTTGTCTGTAAGCAGCTGGCTGAACCACGGGCAGCATAGAGTCCCTAAAGCCCCTTTACAGGGCAGGAGGAGAGTCCATAAGCTGGGACAGCAACCCTAGGGCTGGGCTTAAGAGGCACCGAATTTGACAGCTGGAGGGACCTTTGAAAAACCTATACTACTCCCTAACTGCAATGATGAGGAAACTGAGGCCCTGAAAAGTCTTGCCCAAGACCCTACAACCCCGAAGA